GCAGCCCAGCTCCAGGTTGAGCTGTCGTTCAGCATCTTAGCTGTGGAGGGCAGTGTCACTGGCCCTCATATGTGGGATCCGAACCGGGGCCCTCTGGCATCCCAAGCGAATTCTTAACCATCGCGCCACTCGGCCGGCCCTATTTATTTTTATTCTTTTTGTAGCTTCTTGAGCCTATGCATGTTAGCCATTTAATATCAGTTTTTTCTAATTAATTCATTTTAAGGCTATACATTTTCTTCTAATTACTGTTTTAGCCACAAACATCTTGAAAGTATTGTAATTGTGGTTCATTTCTAATTCAGCATTGATTTTCTTTTAAACCCCATAATATTTTACAGTTTTCCAGTGTTTAGGTGTTATACATTTGTTGTTAATAATATAATTTAATTGCATTGAGATTGGAGTTTATGTCTGGTATGATTTTTCTTTTGCAGTTTACTGATTTATTTATTTATTTATTTTTAGTTTTGTAAGTTCAGACTGCTCTACAAGCAGCAAAGTAGGAATACTTTTAGGGAAAAACCCCAAATAAACCAGTTAAGACCAGAGTATCTGTTTGTTTGTTTGTTTGTTTGTTTGTTGACATAGTAGATAGAATACCTTCCATGTATAGTAAGATTAAACTTTTCTTTGAATTTTGTGCTATTTTGTCATATTCAGAAATGTTTTAAAATGTTTTCGCAGCCACAAATAAGAAGAGTAACTCACCTAAGCCAGCTCGGTCCAGTATCGCAGGTAGCCTATCACTTCGAAGAGCAGTAGACTCTGGAGAAAGTAGCCATTCAAAGGGAGATTGTCAACCTCTGTCTGAAGGTAAATTTGGAGAGTTCAGAATGTAATTTCAGTGGATAGATGTCTGTTACTCGAAATTTGTCTTACAGTATAGCTTGAGACCTTTAAAGGCACCAAAAATGCTGAAATTCAATTTGAAAGTTCTTTGATCTCACAGCAGAACTGGCTGATTAATAAGAAAATGCAGCTATTAGATTGCGTATTCTGGACTCCTTAATTTTACATATTTGGCATCAAAAAGACTGGGCTATCTTTTAAAATTATTTTTGAGTTTTCCTGAAGTTTAAAAATGTATATTTAATGAGACCTTCTATAGTGGAGATTGAAGAGAGAACTTTGTATTTGTTTGGGTTTTTTTCCTGAATATTCTCTTCCTTTCTGCACGTTCCCCAGGAAGCTGTCAGTCTGGGAGCAGGCACAGTTCTCCCCGAGCCTCGACACATGGCAGCATTGGTGATATTCTGCCAAAATCCGAAGACCGGCAGTGTCAGGCTTTGGATTTGGATGCTATTGTGGTTACAGTTATCAATGGCTTACCTACTGTTGGGAAAAGGAGAAAAACGGTCACTGTGGGGTAAATTAAGTTCTTTTGTTTATTAATGGTGTAATAGCTAATAGCTTTATAATGAACAAAATAAATTTCCACTGTTAATTGTTTAGCCGACAGAAAGTTAATTTGTTGTATTAAAATGTAACTTTGAAAGTATCAGAAACCTTTTTTTTTCCTTCATGGAATAAAATAGTACCAGAAGTTTAGTTTAAATATGTTAGAGCTCATTTTCACTGAAGTTAGGATAATAATGGAGTGAAACCTTGTATGAACTCTGCCTTGTGAGATTTTTTTTGTGTGTCAGCTTTTTTTCCCATCTGCCCCACACTTTTGAAGGACATTTGTGCTGGGCTGTATTATGTCTCATAGGTCTTTTACACATACTTTGTAAGGAACAAAGCACTTCTAGCAATTTTATTGTAACACTGATTTTATCTCACCTTTTTTTCTCTCCTCTTATACAAGTGTCCTCAAAACTCATAGTTGGAATTTTCCCAAAAGGATATATATGGTAGTCAACACCTTAATCTTTCTCTTAGGAAACAAATTCAAATCCCAGCCATCTCAATTTAACTTCCATCCCCTGAAAAAATAGAGTGGTTGTAGAATGTATTGTATATGAATTTGCTAGATGAGCCTTAATATCCATCTGCTGATCTATTTTATGGATATTAACTACATTTCTAAACTTAATGTAATAGTTCTACCTTGGAGACTTTGAAAAGAACTTTGAATTAAATTTAGGGAAGATTTACATCTCTTAAGTTTACTTAATTTCATACAGTTTTAAGATCTGGGCAGTTACCAAATCTGAAAGGCGAGCTGGCGGTTTAGTTTCTTGTTAGCTCATGTTTAAGCAGTGGAAGGTGTTATAATCATTGGAGATTATCTTGTCATCTTCGTTCCTTAGCCTGATTTGATACATATCCCTTTCAACTTGAAGCTGCAGCTAGCTTTTATATTTATTTGTCATGGAAATATTTAACTGTGCCTTTAGTCATAAAGATTAAATGTATATAAACATACACTTTTTTCTAGACTGTAAAATCTTTTATAGATATCTGCAGCTTTTTTAGCTGTAACCTGCATTTTACAGTTAATTGCATCTCCAGCCTGGCTCCTGTGTTTTCCCGCCTGTGTCTTTTTCATTGCCTGATTTAAAATAGTATAAGCAAAAATTTTAAATACTCAGTGGTTAAACAATTAAGTGAAATTTTCCCCATTTTTGCCTTCTGTCTGCTTAGTTTTCCAACCCCCTGTCCACACACGTTCCTGCTGTTCTTAATTTTTTATATATGGTGTGTCTTCTCAGTTTTTATGCGCATTTTAGTAACGGTGACCACATAGCTTTTTTAATACAAAAGGTGCACCTTGTTTTCTCAATAATGTATGTCAAAAGTCTTTCCATATTAGTGAGAACATATTATTGAGGACTTTTGTTTATTTTTTAATTGGGATTTTTATTGAGATAATTGTAGAGTCACACCCAGTTGAAAGAAATCATACAGAGAGATCCTGTGTTCCTCACTCGGTTTCCCCCAATGATAACGACTTTCAAAATTGATAGCCTATCACAACCAGGGTATTGACATTGATAGTCCCCCATTCTAGAAACTTCATTGTGAGTCTGCTAGTGAATTTTTTAAAAATCAACTTGAAATTTAGTATTAAATATCAGTGACATATACCATACTTAGTTTTTGTTTTTTTAATTTTTTTTTTAAGATTTTTATTAGGGAATTGGGGGATGGGAACAGCGCTGGGGAATTGGGGGAAGGGGAACAGACAAGTTGCTGTCGTTTTGTTCTTCAGTCTAGTTGTGGAGGACGTTGCTTCACTGGCCCAAGTTGGCACCATCATTGCGCTCTTCCCGGGCGAGGCAGATCAGTCGCCGGCTTCTGGACGGCCGCTCACGCTGGCTGCTGGCTACACACGGTAGCCCATGGCAACCCACTGCCACAGGGGCTGCAGCCTACGCCGTCGCCGGTGACTCATGGCAGCCCAGCTCCAGGTTGAGCTGTTGTTCAGCATCTTATCTGTAGAGGGCAGTGTCACTGGCCCTCACATGTGGGATCCGAACCGGGACCCTCTGGCGTCCCAAGCCAGCTCTTAACCATCGCGCCACTTGGCCGGCCCAATATACCATACTTAGTTTGATGCTCAGTTTCAGGACAAGAAGAAAATATAGATTACTGTATCACTGACTAGCTATACAAAAATATCAGGTTGTCTTTTCCCTCTTGTAGGGCTGGTGCTAAAGGAGGGCATCTAGAAGGAATGCAAATGGCTGACTTGGAAAATAATTCTGAAACGGGGGAATTGCAGCCTGTACTACCTGAAGGAGCGTCAGCTGCCCCTGAGGAAGGTAAGGAACGATAAGTCATAATGAGGTGGGTGGCGGGAATAGTGATCTTCCTTTGGTGTTGGTGATGGGGAGTTGTTGGTTTAATAAAAGAGTTATTGACACATTGCCTACTATCTGATGTCCTTTTTCTGAACACAGCATTTATTGTGCTTCTGAATTTGATTTATTAGGACATTAAGCACAGAGAAAGGCAAAATGAATAATCGACTACGTAAAAGGACATGTCTTATTAGAAAAGACATTTACAGGAGGGAAGAATCTGCAGATCGTTCATCTGCTCATTCAATAAATATATTAAGCCACCTACATGACAGGCATTGAATTTTTGCTGGATGATGCAAAGATGAAATTAGATATGTTCACAGTCTTGTGGGGAAGACATGCCCCACAACAACTTATTAGAATATTTAAGTGTTAAGTACTTCATCTTTTGAAGTCAGTTTTGATTAATGTTTGTAGACTGCTTTGCTCTTACAGCATTATTCCAAACTAACCATTTAAATAACCCTTTATGGTAACAGACTTCCGATCTACCAGTTCATTTTCAATTACATTTCTAGTATTCGTCTACATGTTCTAAGTTCCATATGCTTTATCTAAAAGCATAGAAGACACTGTAATTTTGAGTAATAGAAGGCGTTTGAAACAAGGCTTATGTATGTTGCCCTTGCTGTGTCCTTTTTGTTAGCAAAAAAGCATGTCAACTTTCTAAGTGATATTTGACATTGAAATTTCTTTCATTTCTCAGTGAAACCCTGCCACCTTCCACCTCTGCACTTATTTGAATTTCAGTGATGGATGAATTATAGCTCAAAGCAAATATACAGGTGCCAGCATCTACCCTGTGAGAGTGTGTGGATGGTGGCATTTGCAGGTTTTTCAGTTAAAGAACACTAAACATTGTGGTCTTCCCTCTTAGTTGGTGCTATTGTGGCGGGTAGCATTATTTCAGTAGAAGAAATTAAACGGAAAGAAAGTGTTGATTTTAAATGAAGTGTTGATTGTTAAAACATTAAGAAAGAAATAGTATGATTGACCTTTATAGAAAGGACCTATAGGGATTAGCTAGTTTCCACGTATTTATATATACTGATTATAAATTATAGTGGCTTACATTTTTGCAGCATGTGCTGGGATTCTTTTATTCATGCAGCATTTATGAAATGCCTCTAATTGCACGTGATGCTCATGGTAAAGTAACTTCTGAACCAAATTTTTAGTTGAGGGTTTCTCTACCTTGGCACCATTGACATTTTGGGCCAGATAACTCGGTTGTAGGAGGCTGCCCTGTGCCTTATAGGGTGTTTAGCAGCATCTTTGGCTTTTAACCACTAGATTCCAGTACTCCTCTAAGTTACAATAACCAAAAATGTTCAGACATTGCCAAATGTCTCCATGGAGGCAAAGTCATTCCCAGTTGAGAGCTACTGTTTGAGTTGAATAGCCCTCAACCATGGGTGACCAGAGTGGGTCACAGTTACAAACGGTAGCGAGTTGTAGGTCTGAGGTATACTGGATATATGTGTTGGTGGTGGTGGGAAGGGGACAGGCAGAACAGTGGAAACCACCGGTCAGGCGTCAGAGAAACTGGGTAATAGCTAATTATACTATGAGTACTGTGATAGGGTATATCAGAGCTTAAAGAACAGGTATATAATAACAAAAATAATAGATAATACTGAATAAGTCTCATTACATATTAGAGACCCCTAAAGACTTCACCAGTATTATCTTATGTTTTTTCAATACAGTCCTACATGGTAGTTACTTTATTATCTTGACTTGACAGGTGAGAGGCTGAGGCCTAGAGATGTAACTTGATGTAACTTATCTTACCCAGAGTCACAGAGTTAAAATGGAAGGGCTGGAACTTGAACCCAGAGCCAGTGCTCATAACTATCACCTAGTCCACTTTTGGAAAAATCATCCTGAGGGATGAACAAGAGTTAGTCAAGTAAAGATGGGCGAAAGATGGCGCCAGAGTGGAGGCCGAGGCCATAGCATAAAGAGTTCTGTTGTATGTCTTAGTTAGAATTTGGACTTTGTCCTTTGGGATCTAAACAAGAAGTGAAATAATAAAATGATGTTTTTAAATTCCTACTCTAACTGCATTGTATGGAATGGATTTTGGGAGGTGGAGGTGAGGTGTGGAACTCTGGGGACAAGAAAACTGGTAAGCATATTAAATTAATCTAGGTGAGAGATGACTTGGACTTCTTAATTTCAGCCTTCAACTCACAAATTCACATTATCATAGCAGTTTTTCTATATAATTAGCTAGTTAGCACACACACACAAGAATCCTGGAAGTTTTGACTTTAGTTTCATTTCTTATTTAAAGTTGATCATTGGCAGCTTATCCTAAACTGGACAAAGGCATTTGCTTGGCCACATTTAAAATCTGCTATGGACTTGAAACTGGGGGATTTAGGGCCAAGTGGTGAGTGGTACTCAGTAACACATTTTCTCTCATGTAAGGAGTGTTGTGGTACAAAGCACCCACGCTCATTAAGAAGAGTTGCTGTAAACGTGCAAATCAACAGTGTCACAGAAGTACACCCTTGCAATTTGCTGGTTTACCAGCAGAGCCTCAGGATAGGCAATAAGAAGGAGACTAACTGATACAGTGGACAGAAGGAGCTCTTGTGCTTTTTGGAATCTGCTTTGTTTGTGAGAGGAGAATGAGGCTTTACTCACTGCTGTGGCTATTATTCTATTATATACATCAGCAGGAGCCAGTTCTCAAAAAACCGTTACTTTTCACACTGGTAAGCCTTGGTAGAAAGTTGAGTGGGTTTCTCTTGTATCCATGCTTAGGGAAAACAAGGCTCGCTATTTGAGCAGAATACCTAAGAGAAAATTTTCTGTGTCAGATCACTGTGGGTGGGTGTCTCTCTCCCTGTCCTCCTCCCCTACCCATTCCTCCCCTTCTCTCTTTTTCAAGCTGTCTGAAGAAGCTTTAAAGTAAGACATTGTATATATGACTAGGTGGAAATTTGGGACTACTAAAGTGGTCTCTTAAATGTTCTTGAGCATCAATAAAATGTGACTTTTCTTAGACATAACAGGCATCAAAGCAGGCTTTTCCTTTCTAACTGGGACCATATGGGACAGGCTAGTATTAATCTTCTGCTTAATGGCCTGATGCTGAGAAGATTGACTCCCCCATCCCATCCCAGCCCCTGATATCTTACAGAGCGCCTGCCTGCCGGTAGGTAGACCAGTTTCTTCCTTGGTCTGTCTAAAACTGGAGACTGTGCTCTGCTTAAGTGACTACTGAAGTAACACAGGTCCCTTTCAAATAAGTCACAGATATCAAAACACCCATCCCAGGGAAAGCCATGGCATACCTGTTACAAACCTTACTGGCAGCCTGTCTTAAGGGGAATACAAAGCCTGATGCTCTGGCATTGCTGATTTGTTTTGGAATATTGTTTAGGAGCTTTTAACATAAGTTACAAAAACTCAAATCAGTTGGCTTAAACAATAAGGAAGATTTACTCGCTTGTATTAACAAGAAGTCTCACCTAACTGTGGTAGCGCAGTTTAAGGGTTGGAGAAAGTAGCCATTCGCTGTCCTCAGAAACTCGTTTTCCCCCATCTTGTACTCTGCCACTCAGTGAGTTGGCTCCGCTTCCCTCAGCACGGGGAATGGTTGCTGCAGTTCCAAACTTTACATGGAGTCAGAACAACTTTCTGGAGGGATTATGTCTATGTATGTATTTATCAACAAGGAAAACCTTTCTCAGAGAACCTCAACAACTTCCTAACTTCCTCTTATGTCTTATAACTAACTGGCAAGAAAAGGAAATTTGGCAAAGTTTAAACATTTGATCTCCCTCCCCCCATAGCTACGTGGTATGATACTGAGGTTCTGTTAGAAAGAGGAAGGCCAGTGAAGCATTAGTGTGGGCTGTACCAGGTGGTCACTGAATGTATTTAGGAAGCACCTGACATTTGAGCACCTTTAAGTAAGGGAGTTGTAACTCAGAAGTTAGCTTTGGACAGTACTGACCGTAGAGTGGGTGCTCAAACAACGTGTTAGGCAATCGTACAGAAATACGCTATTTCAGATTTTACTCTGATACCATCTCTGAAGCATCTTACATTTAATGGTACCTTGTAATTACTATCAATGACAGCCAGTTGTGTGAAAACCTATTGACACCTGGTGAGATCAAGAAAGGTCCAGTATTCAAATTTCTTAGAGTAGGTGAAATATCACTAGTTTGCTTTAATCATGACTTAATGCAGTGAGTAGACATTGCAATATCTGGGGCAAGGCACAGCAAATAGCTTGTGAGCTGTTGCTTGACAGCAGCTAGTCTCATTTCAAAAACAAGAAAGTAGTTGACTTTTTATTGTGTTTACTCCCTCTCAGTGATTGATGGCAATTTTACTGATCTTTTCAAAGACCTTATTTCATTGATTTCTTTTTGTACAGGCCCTGTTGATTTAGTGGTCCAACTATTGGGTTGTCAGGAAAGTCATGACGTATTTTTCTATGTTTTTCAATGCAAAAAATGTGTCATGACTTTCCCGACGACCCAATGTTAAGCTAAGGTCAAAAGACCAATTTGCCTTTTTCATATATTCACAAAGCTTGGGAACGTCCAGATCTTAGGACTTGATAAAAGACCAAATAGTGTTTTCATGCAGGAACTCTTTCCCAGTATTTCTTGGGAAATGCATGTTTTCCTGAATCCTAAGAAGCATGAGTCAAATAAAAAATTGGAAAAGTTCTAATTCTCCAGTTAGAGTTCATCTTAACAACCATCACAGAAACATTACTGGTTTGAAAGAATCCACTTATTCAAGTTGAAAGTAAAAACTGGAAATGCTGATACCTGGAGTCAAAGGTTAGGATTAATAGAAGCACCTTGGGAAGAAGCCATCAAACCAGTCCTGGTTATAGCTGTTGTCATTTTATAAGACTATTCATTGCCCTGAGTGCTGGTATACAACTAATAATGAGTTTATACTATACTTTATAGGAATCCTGTGAGTGGTGTTCCAAGAAATGGGAAGTTTTGGAAGCAAAATAATTCCTTAAATTGGCATTTTCAATATATGATTCTACATAGTACTATAAATCTTGCTAAAACTTCTAAATGTTACATTACTTGAATACCACCCAGTAATGTTCACAGCATTTTCTAGCATTTGAATATTTATTGTCGGCTACAGTTCTTGGAAATATTACAAATTAAACAATTTTTTAGAAGATATAGTTTCAAAAATGTATTTCAGGAATAACTTGAGATTTTGGGAATTCCAGAGAATTTTTAATTTTTGCTTGTGAATCCTGAAGGTTAGTATCTGTCAGGAATTCAGAAACACTAGTACCAAGGCTTAAATTTGTGCCTAGAATTTCAAGAACTCAACATGGGTTTCAGTATTTCAGCAACAGTCCCATGAAGGGCCACAAGGTGGTGGTGGTGGTTCATGGAAGTAGCTGGTTTGGTCTCCAAAAGTAAGTGTCACTGTTCACTCTCTAGAGCAGTCAAGTTGTTTTTCTTTGCTACATTCAATGTCTTCTAAATATTTAAGGGAGAAAACTGAAGAGAAAGAATTCACCAGTGAAGCCATCTGGAGCTATGATTTTCTTTGTTAGGATTTTTTTTAAACTACAAATTCTATTTCTTTAGTAGTTATAATACCCATTCATGTTATCTATTTTTATCTGAATGAGCTTTGGTAGTTTGTGTCTATCGAAGAATTTGTCCATTTCATCTATGTTCTTGATTTCACTAGCATTAAGTTGTTTATACCATTCCCTTATTATCCTTTCAATGTCTGTAGAATCTGTAGTGATGTACCCTTTTATTTCTGATACTGGTAATTTTGTTTGCTTTCTTTTTAACCTGCCTAGAAGCTTTTCAATTTTACTGATCTTTTCAAAGACCTAATTTCATTGATTTCTTTTTGTATTGTTTTCTGCTAAGTTTTCTTCTGTTCTTTATTTTCATTTACTTGGTCTTTTTTTCTGGTTTCTTAAAGTGGATGCTTTGATCATTAATTTTAGACCTTCTTCTAACCATTTAATGCTATAAATTTCCCTTTAGCACTGCTATAGCTACATCTGAGAACTTCTGATATGTTGTATTTTTATTTTCATTCAATTCAGAATGTTTTTCATTAATTTTGGAAAATTCTCAACCATTTTCTCTTAATATATTGCCCCTACTTTGTTACTTTTGCTATCACTATGGCAGTCTATTTGAACCACTCCCTGATGAGTCAGAAAAAGAGCAATTTCTTAATCCTGAGGCGCCCAGACACCGGAATCCAATTTGCAACCCCCTTACAGTTTTTACTGGTGATGCATAGAGCCCCAGGCTGAGTCAGAGTCCAGAGTCCGGCAATAACATTATCTTCAAACAGACCAGACCCCAGGAAATGATGTCAGATTGTCAGCCCTCAAACCTGCCTGAAGGACTCCCCCTTGCCTATATAAGAAAAAGCTAACCTAAAGTTGGGTGCAGTTGTCCACTGCAGACTCTGTCCCCACCGCCCCCCCCCCCACACACACACACAGCCTGCTGGCGCCTTTTTCCTTAAACTTTCTAATTTCTATTCCTTTTGAGTCTGTGAATGCTTTCACTTTCTGCAAATGACCAGGGGCTAATTCTACGCCAGAACACTCCCTTTTATCCCCTTGTTTCTTAATTGCTTTTTTATAATTTTCACCTCATTTTTCTCCCTAAATTTGTCTATTCATGTTTTAATCTTAATGACTATCTTTCATTTCTAGAGAGTCTGCTTAGTAATTTTTTAAATATCCTTTTTGTTTTCCATGTTAAACAGAATTGTGTAGTGTCTTACAGGTTATTTCATTTTATGAAAAAGTCATGTATTGTCCTATGTGTGTACCTCCTTGACTTTTACTTCAGGTGGATTGTCTGCCTTGTTTTGGAAATTTTGATTGGAACACACCTTTTTGAGACTTTTTTTTACTCCTCCTGGAGAATTCTTTTTTTCTTTCTTTTTTCTGTGATACTTCTTGTGACCTGGATTGTGGAAGCGCCCTCAAGAGGTTTTTTCCAAAAATGTTTCAAGAGTGTTCACGTGCATTTTTATATCAGCGTTACAATCTTTGTTTGATAATTTCAACATCTCTGTCATCTCAGCATTGATGTTTGTTGATTGTCTTTTCTTGATTCTTAATATGCTGAAGTAATTTTAGGTTGTATTCTGGACGTTTTTAATATGATTTTATGAAACTCTGGGTCTTGTTTAACCGGCCAATTTGGTGGTATTTCAAATTCTGGTTTATACCAATATGCTTGTTCCTACTTATTTTTCAGAGCCCTTAAATAGCTGCTTCATGCATGCGTGATAGCTGCATTCAGTGGCAAGACTGGGTGGGATGTGTTTACTTCACCTTACCTAGAACCTTCTCTCCAAAGGATTTTACATTGGCTTTGTTCAAATAACACTAGCTCCTGACCAGTTTTTATGTTAACTTCCTGAAATTTAAACCTCAACTTTAAATCCCAAACCTAAATGAGGCACACAGGCTTTAGTTTGCATTCTGAGGTGAGCTAAGCCCAGAAAATACAGAGAAAATTCCTTGTTGTCTTCCAGTGCCAGTAGGCAGACTTTGTCTAACTTATTCTTTCAATACATATTTTAGCTTTATACAAGGAGTGGAGTTTTAGTCTCAGTTTCAACTCCATTTCTATGGTGGGTCCACATTTTTTTTTTTCTATCCCCAAGGGAGTGGGAAAGACACTCACATCAAGCTGTGTGGACAACTGCGTCATCTGACCCTGCTTTGTTTTGGCATCTAGATTTCCCTTCTTTTAAATGTGGCTGTTCATTAAAATAATATTTTAAGTTTATATTTTATCTACCATTTATAAGGATTTGTAGCAGAAAGATTTTCAGATTTTCTTGATCACTGTCTTGTAGGAACAAATACTTTCTATAGATTTTTTTTCCTTTTAAAAAATCAGCTGATAGGCACAAAAACAAAATTGGAGGCACAAATGGGATAGAACTCATTTGTTGCTAGAATTACTGGAATTTTTTATATACACACATACATTATAAATGTCTGCAAATGTGTATTTGTGTTTATGTAACATGTTTATATGTTTCAGGCTAGAAACTATTATATCTACATTGAACTGGATTAAGAGTTCCTGTTTATCTCTATGACTAGAAACAACTTTCCTTTAGAAAAAATATTTTCAGTATAATGAAATTAATACTGGTTTCACATTATGATTTTCAGGTACTGTGGAAAGAGTAATTTTAATCTTTGAGAAGAAAAATAAAACCACTGCTCTAATAACTAAAGAGAACTAAGGTTTTCCTTTGTTTTGTTTGTTTAGTGTCTTATATTGTCTTGGCTTCCAGTGTAAAATTGAGTAGGAATCACAGTTTAGTAGATAAGGAGATTTCCATTTCCTTGCACTTGAAGTGGTTTGTTGTCAGAAACATGTTATCCCCTACTTTCCTGCCAGGAATGAGCAGCGACAGTGACATTGAATGTGACACTGAGAATGAGGAGCAGGAGGAGCACACGGGCATGGGCGGATTTAACGACTCCTTGATGGCACGGCCCCCAGACGAAGGTGCAACAACACATCTTGTCATTTCACAGAAATTAATAAAACCACCTCTTCTGCTGCTGCTGCTGCTGCTGCTGCTGCTTCTGCTTCTTTTGCTTGTATTTCTGCTTCTGCTTCTTCTCTGCTGCTTCTGCTTTTTTTTCCTTTTTAATTATTGTCATTTGTGAGACAACATTCTATGGGGTAAACTAAATGGTGAGTACTGGAAAATTTTGGTGGGTAATATTTGGCTGGGCAGACACCTGATGGATGCTACTTATTGGGTGGAGCCAGGGATCTTTGGTACAGCCTGTGCGCTCTGAGAATAGCTTTTACATTGTAAAGAGTTATTGGGGAACAAAACAGGAATTTTCAACAGAGACCATTTGTGGCCTGTAATGCCTAAAAAGATTTACTACCTGTTCCTTTATAGAAAATTTTTGCCAACCCCTAGGGAGGTTTCAGATGTTTAGTTTTAGGGTTTTTTGTTTGTTTGTTTGTTTTTCCCTCAGAGGTATTTGTAGCCTAGCTAAAGATAACTTTTTCAGATTTCTTAGAAATGTATGCAATTATGGAATCATCAATTTTTATTTCCTCTTCCTCCCAAAAATGTCTTAGGAAAAAAACTCATTGAAAGAAACCCATTGTTAGTATTCTTTGTTTTGTTTTGTTTTAGGTGTATGACATAATGATTTGATATGGATATATATTGCAAGATGATTACCACAATAAGCTTAGTTAGCATCCATAACCCATTGTTAATATTTTATCCAGAGACCTTACTGGGCAATCTGAGCATCTCTCCACAAGATTTCCTGTAATGACAACATTGTCAGGCTTATGTCGATTGTCAGCTTTATATTTTACGTATTTCCCTGATGTTCTAGTGTTTTTTTCAATACAGAGCAAAGCATTTGATGATTTTTAAGTATTAAAATACTCTTAGTAATTTTCTCTCCTAAAAGAAGCAGCCAAATTTTAGGCAACTTTTTGGAGTGCTGATGGGTTTTTGTAGTGATTAAATTGCACGTGCAGTTTCATTGGCTTTGAAATATGTTTTATGTTTACAGAGTAAGCCTTCAGCGTGTACGTCATCGTCATTTTCTATTCCCTTCTTCAGCTGCTCCCACAGTGTCTCCAGGAGGACACAGCGGGGCAGCGCCTCTCGTCTTCTGATTGTGGATATCGATCACACATTTTGTTTTTCTCCTTTATTTTCCCCTGTGTTTGCTTACACCTGACTCAGATCACAAATTCTCTGAAGACAGATTTTTCATAATCCAGCAAATCTTGATCGCTTAAATAACATACTTGATAAGGTCATTTAAAGACATGGAAAAGATAATACTGCTCTCTTAAAAATCTTTTCATTTTTTTGTCTTAGATACGCATGCCAATTTTCCTGATGGTGAACAAATAGGCCCTGAAGATCTCAGCTTCAGTGCTGATGAAAGCAGTGGAAGGTAATTTTCAAACCAAGAGAACTGACTTGCAAGCTGTCTTGACTCTGAAATTGGCTGTAGTTGGTGCTCAAATATGTCATTAGTCAGATAATCAGATTTGGTCTACTTGTTTTCATCATATCTACCTGAAATAATAATTCTGAAACTTTAGAAAGTAGAACAGTTGTAGTATAAGACATTAGTATACAGGAAAAAATTGATAGTGTGGGAAGAATTTTGTGTAATGTAATGAGTAACAATGCAGTCCTTAATTAACTTAGTAAAATAGTGTATTTATAAAAAGCTGGTTTGTCTACGACAACAGAAGGACAATTAACTGCCAGAAAATGTACCTAGACTAGACAGTGCATGCGCTCAGTAACCTGCTCAGTGTCGGAGCTCTTCTGTTTGGCTAGAGGCTCAGTTGTGTTTAAATGGCCACCTTCATATTTTGGGTTTTAATCACAGTTTATAGTTTCATTAGTGCCTGTAGATTAGTGAGCAGAAAAAGGACTTAGGCATAGGTTCTGTCCTGTAGACACTGTGTGTGAATAACAGAAGTAACACTAGACTGAAGCTCCTCTTTGGACTATGCTGACTGACTGACGTTAACTTATTTATCTTTTCTTGTTTGTTCAAGTGCAGGCACACTGATTAATGGCACATAATTGTTCTGCTGTATGACTTTTACAGATGTAATTTTAAATGAGTTAAGTTAATGGGGATTGGTTATGTTCCTGGTCACTTGTAAGATCATTTAAAATTATTTCATTTTTCTGCCTCTTACTAAACAACTGAAGTGCAACAAGTATTTTAAAACCCTCGTTTCTCCTTTATTTTCATTAGTTGGACATTGATTTCAGTGTCAATATATTTAAGGATCCATACATATTGCACAGTGGTTTACATGAAATGGTGGTGTAAGGTTTACTGTCATACTCGCAATTAGCCCAAATAATTGCCAAACTTTGCCATTGTGCTCCTGCATTTGTGTTTGAGCTGCTATATTGTTTGTGAAAAGTACACTGAAAGTTGACTAAGAGACTGTTGAAAAAGCATGAATATATATATACATGTGAGAGGCATCTCATCTGCTTATATTTTACTTAATATTGTTCACTTTTTCATGTCTGATATCTTGCCGATTGCTGTGATTCATGGTTTGCTTTTGTTCAAAACAGTTTGCACTTTTTGTTAATAAAAATGAACCTGAGAAAATATTATGCCTCTGCAGTTTATTAAAAGTGGGAAAGGAAGAGCCCCCACCGTATTTCTCTGTTCATATTGCCTGTATATTATAGAGGCTGTTGAGCTCTAAACTGTTAGTAAAGGCATGGGAAAGTTAGGAGACTTATTGTAATCTCCATAATATATATGGTCACTTTTTCTCCTTAAGTTAGTTGGAAATATTTAAGTACTATAATCTTAGGGGAAGTAAACATTTAGCATTTGTTGAGTATTACTAACACGTTAGCATTGGCATGCTATTGTATAGTTATTGGGTAGTTTATTATGCAATGATCTAAAACATTACTAATAAGGTCTTTAACGCATTTCATTTGCTATTAGATGGAAATGTATTCATGTACATTACATTTGGTGAGATAGTTTTAATCCAACTTTCTCTTTATCTCTACATTGTAATGGATGAAAATATAATGTAAGAACTTTGCACCTTTAATATTGAAAGCAAACCATTGTAAGAATTGATTAGATTTTTTTAATGAGGACATCAGAATCCATAAACACAAATGTGATTGACACTTTGAATCTCTCACAATTGCCTAGCTGTTTTTTGTCCTGTACAGATTTGATATAGATCTGAGTGCTTTTCGATGTGCCTTTATAATTCTTTTTATTTTCAAAATGTGGAATACCACATGTGGTTAAGAACTAAGAGAAGCCTGAGAATAGACTATTCAGTTGGGGAAATTAACTTGTAAAAGCATGAGTGATTTAATCATGAGATTCACTTGGGTCATTAACATAGATACAGACATAAATATAGATATAGATATAGATATAGATATAGATATAAGCTCCCCTTAACTGTGGTTTTGCTTTCCATGGTTTCAGTTACCTGTGGTTTAAAAATATTAAATGGAAAATTACAGAAAGAATTAATAAAAAAAAATTTATTTTTTTTTAAAGATTTTATTGGGGAATTGAGGGAGGGGAACAGCGCTGGGGAATTGGGGGAAGGGGAACAGACAAGTTGCTTTCCTTTTGTTCTTCAGTCTAGTTGTGGAGGATGTTGCTTCACTGGCCCAAGTTGGTACCATCATTGCGCTCTTCCCGGGTGAGGCAGATCGGTCACCGACCTCTGGACGGCAGCTCTTAGCAGCTCACGCCGGCTGCCGGCCACTCATGCTGGCTGCCAGCCACACATGGGAGATTATGGCAGCCCACTGCAGCAGGGGCTGCAGCCTATGCTGTCGCTGGTGACTCATGGCAACCCAGCTCCAGGTCAAGCTGCTGTTCACCATCTTAGCTGTAGAGGGTGCAGCGTCACAGACCCTCAGGTGGGATCCGAACTGGGGCCCTGCTGCTCAGAGCTGGTGTCCCAAGCCAACTCTTAACCAACGTGCCACTCGGCCGGCCCAGAATTCATAAATTTTTAATTGAGTGATGGAATCTGGTGCTAAGTTGCTCTGTCCCACCCAAGACGGGAACCATCCCTTTATTGTTCAGCGCTGTATACTCTACGTGCCGATTAGTCACTTGGTAACCTTCTCGGTTATCAGATTGACTGGCATAGGGTTGCAGTGCTTGTGTTCAGGTAACCCTTATTTTACTTAATGGCCTCAAAGCACAAGAGTAATGATACTGGCAATTCCAATATTCCAAAGAGAAGCCCGTAAAGTGCTTCCTTTAAGTGACAAGGTGAAAGTTCTCAATAAGGAAAGAAAAAAAAAATTTGTATGCTGAGGTTGCTGAGATCTACAGTAAAAATGAACCTTTTATTTGTGAAATTGTGAAGAAGGAGAAAGAAATTTAGCTATAATAGTTTTGCCGTCATACCTGAAATGGCAAAAGTTAGGGTCACAGTGAATGAGAAATGCTTAGTTAAGGTGGAAAAGGCATTACGTTTGTGGGTTGAAGACATGAACAGAAAACGTGTTCTGATTGACAGCCGCATGTTGTACCAGAAAACATTGAACCCATATAGAGACTTCAGCAAGAGGGACCTTAAAATGAGTGATGCCAAGTAGGGGATAACTATCCACAGTTTCAGGGCATCCATTGGGGATCTTGGAATATATTCCCCGTGGATTAGGGGGGATTAATGTAATAACCTTTGAGGTATCCCTCTTTCCTTATTTGGGAGGGTTTTTTTTTTCTTTTTAATCATAAATATTCTTAAGCTTTGCTCTTATTTTTCATGACCTTGAGGTTTTTCAGCTCGTGGATTCCTCCAGTGTCAGTGATATTTGGATCACGGTATACTTGGATCTCAAGTATTTTTCTGGCTTTTCTTATGCTCAGGTTTTGTCTAAAAACAACCAGGATACTGCCCTTATTTTGGGTGAATAGAGAGCTGTTGAAACCCTTTTAAATTGAGTTCCTGGATACCCATTACCCAGCTTTTCCTTTTGTTAACATCTTACAGAACCATAGAACCATGATCAAAACTAATATTAGTCTTGTTTATAGTACTGTTGACTCAACTGCGGAATTTGTTAAGATTTCGCCAGTTCTTTCACTAATGTCCTTTTTCTATTCCAGGATCCAATCTAGGATACCACGTTGTATTTAGTTGTCATGTTTCCTTAGTGTTTTCCAGTCTGACAGTTCCTTGGTCTTTCCTTATCTTTCATGACCTTGACATTTTGAATACAGCCAATGACAGTTGACCCTTGAACAACACAGGTTTGAACTGCGCAGGTCCACTTATATGTAGATTTTTTTCAATAAATACGAATATACAGTCAGCCCTCTGTATCCCTGGGTTTTGCATCTGTGTATTCATCCAACTTTGGATCAAAAACAGTCCACTGACTGTATGCATTGTTCTATGTCATTTTATATAAGGGACTGCTCGGAGCCTCCATGGATTTTGGTGAGGGCGGGGTGCTAGAACCAATTCCCCACAGATAGTGAGGGATGACTCTAGTTAAGTTTTTGGGGAGTCAGAAGTTATACACAGACTTTCAACTGCATGAGAGGTCAGTGCCCCTAATCCTACGTTGGCTAAGGGTCAACTCTATAGAGCGTTGCTCTGTTTGGGTTTGTCTGATGTCTTCTCATATTCAATGAAGGTTATGCACTATTGGGAAGGCCACCACAGAGGCGGGAGCCCTTCTGCGTGGATTGTATCAGGAGCAGTATGATGCAGACATGATTGGTGATGTGAATCTTAATTACTTGGTTAAGGGGTTGTCTGCCAGGATTCCCCACTATTTACTATTTTTCACTTTGTAATTACTGAATATTTGGGGCAAATACCTTGATCCTATGCAAACATTGTTTCTGCTCTTAACCACTAAGTTTAGCACCCAGGAGTGGACCTTGCCTGCAGCAGTTATTATTGCAGTGTTCTATTGGTGGTTTTCTATTTCCCTGATTTCTTCTACATTTATTATAAGAATTCTGTAAGGAAAAGTCCCTTCTTCCCCATGTGTTTTTATTCAGCTACTTATTTATATCAATGTGGACTCACAGATATTTATTTTATTCTTTGAGTTATGATCCAATGCTGTCATTATTTTCAGTTCAGTTTGTTCCAGCTTGGGCTGTTGGAAGCTGTTTCGGGTTGTCCCCTGTAACCTTTTGATATGTTCCATCCTTCTCCTTCCCCCCTTCCCTGTCCCTCCAAGATGCTCCAGGCTCATCTTGTGTTTTCCGTGCTCTTTTTTTAGACCATGGTATTTAGAAACAAAGATTGGGCTGCTACTGTGCTTATTATCACTAGCGTGTCACTGCTTCTAGTCCCTCTCAGTGGATAGAATAAGAAATGTGTACATACTTGTGCAAACACACACATCTATATGTATCTCTGTATGTATGTATATGTAAATAAGTTTTTAAGAAGAAAAACCATGTGTCTATATTGATCCCTACAACACCAGTCCAACTCCACAGCACTCATTTTAGCCTTCCCTTTTATTTATTATATCTTTCTCTCACAGCCTGGCTTTCATTAGCTATAATATATTTACTTACTTGTTCAGTCCTAATACATAAACCAAGTAGTTTCAGAACCATTGATCTATATACCCTTGTGAGGAAGATTTATGAGCTACAGTCCAGTGTTTGTGTACAGCCTTTCAGTATCATGTCAAAACACTTTCCCAAGGTTATTTAGGTATTAAGTTATGTTAGTCCTTTTCTTCCCTATCTCTTCAGTAGTTTGTAATGTAGTTAGATTCACCTGTTATAGGCTGCATTCTAGTCGCCCACACACATCCTGGTAGATTTTTAAATTTACATATATTAAAATTCCGTTTTTGTGGTCTGTACAGTTCTGTGGGGTTTGACAAATAGTCATGTATTTGCACCATACAAGCAGGGCAGTACTTGGGCTGGCTCTTGATCGGTACACCCCTTTCCACCATCCGCCCCACCATCCCCAACCTCTGGCAGCTTCGATCTGTTCTCTGTTCTTTTAGTTTTCCCTTTTCCAGCGTGTCATATAAATAGAACTACACAATGTGCAGCCTTTTACTTTAGCAAAATGCAGTTAGGTTTCAACCATCTCGTGTGAATCAGTACTTCATTCCTCTTTATTGCCGAGTAGTATTTCACTGTATGAATGTACCAGTTTATTCATTTACCCGTTGAAGGACATTTGGGTTATTTCCAGCTTGGGGTGATTTGTGTATAGATTTTTGTGTGAATGTAAGTTGTCATTCTCAAGGGTAATGTATGCCTGGGAGTGGGATTGCTGGGTATATATTAGAGAATTTGGCTAGCTTTGTCCCTGGTTCTTGGGATGTAGCCTCTAAGTGCTTAGAATTTCCTGAGTGACAAGAGTGTCTTTATGTATGGTGAGTCCTGATAGCTTGTGCTAATGAGATGACTCAGGAAGGGGGCTGGCCATGCCAGAATGACTATGTGATTAGAGGACTGGGGCTCTGAGTCATGTGATATCAGCCTGAAGAGTTCGGCCTTGTTTCTGGTCAGTCAGTCATGCCTACGTAAGGAAACCCCAGTAAGAACTTGGCGCACTGAAGCTCTGTTGTGCTTCCCGGGCTGGCAGTACTCTGTATTGTCATACATTGATGTTTCAGGAGAGGGTACCATGGCCTGATAACAAGGGAGCTTCACAATGGGACTCACCTAGACCTCACCCTGTGTGTCTCTTTTTTGCCTGATTCTGATTTCTATCCTTATAAAACTGTAATTGTATTTTTCTGAGTTTTGTGAGCTGTTCTAGCAAATTATCAAACCTAAGGGGGGGATGATGGGAACGCCCAAATTTGTAGTCAGAAATGATGTAGTGGCCTGGGACCCCCAAACTTAGAGCTGGTATCTGAAGTGAGAGCAGACTGTGGAGGGAGGACTTCGCCTAGAACCTGTGAAGTTTGGCCTGACTCCACGTAGGTGGTGTCAGAAGTCATTGCGCTGGGTCACGTGGTCGGTATACGCTTAACTGTGTAAGAAACCCCCAGGGCCTTTCCGGAAGCGCCACTGCCGTTCTGTGTTCCTAACAGCAACTGAGGATCCCAGTCCCATCCCATAAACATTTGGGACTGGGTTTTTCATTTTAGCCGTTCTAATGAGTGTGTAGTGATACCCGTTTAGCTAATATTTTTCTAAGGATTTTTGCATCTATATTCATGAAGGATACTGGTCTGTAGTTTTGTTCTGGCTTCATCTAGTTTGGTATCAGAGTGATGCTGACCTAATAAAATAAATCTTCCATTTTCCAAAAGAGAATGTATAGAATTGGTCTTCTTTATTCTTTAAATATTTGATAGAATTTACCAGTGAAACCACCTGGAAGATTTCTTTTTCTTTCGTGTGTGATTTTGGTATGTATCCTGCTGGGTGTTCTGAGCTTCGTGGATCTGTGGTTCAGTGTCTGTCATTAATTTTGGAAAATTCTCAGCCATTATTTCTTCTGCCCCATTATATAGCAACACTTAGCAAATATTCTTTTTAACATGTTCCTGCTTTTTGAAAATTTATGAAAACTACCACCTCAGGATATTTTCATTTCTGAGGGAAGCAGCTTAAATCTCAGCACTAAATAACTTTCCTTTGAATAAAAAGACAAATGACCAGTGGTTTTAAATTGCTGGGTTTTATTAAGATATTGGCAAAATTTCAACATACTTCTTACCTGAATGAACAGTTTTAATAAATAAAACATGAAGGATCACTCATGATTACAACTGAACTCAAAAGTGAGCTGTAGAGCGTAAATTGATAAATTTACTTGGTAAGAAATGATTCACTTCATTCACTTCACTCCATAGGGAATTCTTTGCAGAGAAATATAAACCAGAGAACAAAGCCTGTCTCTCACCAAAGAGCACCTAGAGTAAGATAACGAGGATGCATGTGGATTATCTAATCATCAAAGTTTATTGGAGTATTTCCTTTTCCGAAACAACTGCTCTGCCAGTCTGGAGTTCCCTATCTTAGTTCATGTTTTCTAATTAGTACAGTAAATAGTATTCAAAATAGAAGATAAAATGCCTCTAGAGGAAGTAACGATTTTTTTCAACACAGTACCATTTGTCTGGAAAATAGTGTTATAATACTGGTGGTATCTTGCTTTGAGAAAATCATCTAAGCTCTTCACAGGTTAGAAAAGAAAAACGGGCATTTGTCCTTTATATCACATGAATTTAAAAGGTGAGAAAAGTATGTTCTTACTTTTTAATTAAGATCCAAAGAAAAATTGTCCCAAATTATGATGTGACCAAAACTATAGTATCCCCTTTTATGGACTTGCTTGAGGTGAGAATGATCACTGAGTGAACAAATTATGGTAAACATCAAAATGATAAATTAAGATCACTTTCTTACAAAGCCTCGGCAAGCCTTTGATGGGGAAGGAAGTACTTGAACCCCAGCAGTTTTATCTGCAAACACTGAACTAACTCTTTATGCATCATTTTCATCTGCCCATTGGATGTTGCACTTCTCACTGGCACGGTGTCCATCAGTGGAGTGTGGCTGTCATGAAGAGGCAGGGTGACACTGTACCACCAACTGACATTCCACCACTATAAACGTGGTCAGAATCAGACTTGGTGACATTGACATTGTTGACATTGTCCTTGGAAAAGGTGTTACTTTCAAGAATCATCCTAGTTAAGTGCAACTGTAACTTTCATCTTATTAATTCAAGGATAGTGGATGGCACTTCTAGTAAAGAAAAGGTATATACATGTGTGTTTCCACCACTGTCTTTAGTACAGACCTAGCTGGGACCGACAGTCCCAGCGTTTGGTCCGATAATGCTGCTTAACATCAGATCTCCATCAACAGTACACATCCAGAAAGTGAACAGAGGAAGCCTTTAAATTAGGGACTGATGCCCTTTGAAACTCAGTGAATGTACAAGGAGTTTGTCATTACTTCACTTGGTGACCTGGAGTCTGTTTCCCTAACCAATACTATACTTTCTTGTCTATATTTATTTTACTATTTCCTATTCTAACAAAACTTGAGCAGGCAAACAAATTGATGCAGATCATGTTAAATTCAAAAAGGGATACTGCCACTCTTAAAGAGACTGAGTAGAACTTTCACCACCACTAAATTACACAATGAGTAAAAGTACAAAACATAATTCACAGACTACACCTCAGCATTAACAGTTAATATATATTATATAGATACTTTATATCTGTCTAATATTTTTACAATCACCAGGTAACACCATCATTAAGTACACGTTACAGAAATGTGTAGAAACCATTAGTTAGAGGGGTACTTATTGCTTACGTCAGCAAGCAGCAAATAAGGGCACAGGATTTGAACTGAAGGGAACTACTTTCTATCACCAGTGGCATTAAGATATAACACTGCATTTCACAAAGCACTGCTTTTATCTAGTTTATAGAACCAAGAGCAGCATATATCAGACCAATCACCACTACTTTAATATCTATTATAGAATTTTAAAGGACTTACCTTACAAATGGTACTTATCTACTCTATAAATATGCATGGTGTGGACGAATGAAAATTTGCTATTTTTTACAATACTGTTTTATAACTTGACCATACTAGAACTACTTTGCTTTATTTTCTAGAGGGCTGCTGGTATGAGAATGGAGTTAACACTGCTTATGTAGTCAGACTTATGAGATCCAGACCCTTAAACATGTGGTCTGTGTTCCTCTCAATTTCATCCAACCATGTATTTTCCCCACTGAAAAAAACCTATCACTTGTACCCTCTTTCCTTTCACCTTTATTCTGATCAAAAACATCAGCTATAGACAACTATAGATAATCTTTAAAAAAATTTGCTTACTGGCTAAATGCTTTGGATTATCATACACCAATATTCTGCTGCCTCTGTTTTCTTATTTCTTTAGATAATTTGATTCGAAACTGACACTGCACCTGATGGGTTGTTACCAAGATCTGGGCTTCAGGAAATGAAAGATGTGAGTGAGGTCCGCGTGGGGGTAAAGCACTGGGCGGTGAAGACTCTGGTACTGTAGTTGGGGCCATGTTTACTCCCTCCTTTTAGCCATGTGTCACAAGACTGGAGAAAACAAATACTGAAAATCTACTTACATCCACATTTTAAAAATAAAATCTATAGATTAATGATCTGATCATTGCTAAAGTGAAGCTGTTTTTACTTACATGACATGAATAGACTGGCACCCAAAATATGCTACAGTCCTCTATGTTTTTAAAATCCAGGAATTTTAGTCCTCCATTATGGATCTGGGGAACATAATTGTATTATTCCGTAAAAACCTGATTAGGCAGTGGGCATGTCTCGGCAAGAGCATTTAGTACCTTAATAGCACGAGTGACTGAGCACTATAGCGGTACCACCTGTTCACTGGCATGGCTGCCTCCTGGTTGACTGGGGGAGGGCCAAATGTCACGGGGACACATTCCTGATTCTCAGAATCAGAGGCTGCTTCACTGAACGAACCTGATTATTAGTTTATTTGCTGTCTTTAGTTGAAGATATGCTTCTGGCTTGAAATTGCAGGAATGGCAAAAAGCAGACAATTTAAAAATATCCAATACAAATAAATACTGGAATGAGAAACATATCCTGTCTGCAGTCTGACGTTGCATGGAGCAGGCCTGGGGGGCGATCTCCATAACTAAGCAGACCTCAGTCTGAGTGTAATCTGCACTCTCCTGTGCACTTGGCCTCTGGGCTCACTTTAGGCAGTACTCGCAGTCTCTTCGCACCAATTCCTTCATTCCCTTGGGGGAAACGGTTTTAGAGAAGTCAAAACTAGTATTTTTCATTCTCCAAAACCACTTTTTATAGTAGTATATACCTTTGCTGTCTGTGACCTTAAGAAAAAGGCAGAAAAAATAGAAATATTACTTGATTTTCTTTTTAAGTGGTAACTTGATTCTAGTATATTTGTACCTTACATCATCTGTGTTAAACAAATGAAGGTACAGTGAAAAACAATGTAGCATCATAGGTTAAAACCAGTTGACAGCAGTCTTCTAAAATTACAAATAATAAAAATTCTGCCGAAAGCACCATAGCAGGTTATGAAACTCCCAAATAACTACAGCCCTAGGAAATACTTCTACATTCAAAAAATTTTCAGTCTTTTTATGTTACAGAAAAAAAAAATCAGTAAATCTTTATGACTGTGCTGCCTCACAAGTCTGAGAATATGACGTTTTTACACTAGGTTTCTACTTTCATTGTTACCAGTTAAAACCCATATGGCTTTTAGTCTTTCATTTACCAACCAGAAAAAGGGGGGGAGGCATTTCCCTCATAGTCCCCAGTCTTTTAAGGAACATTCCCCAACTAAATCTCATTCTGCATTAAGTTTTCCATAGCTATATTAGGCACATCAGACCAGATTGCAACTGCGTTGAGATTTTTCAACACTATATATCCTGATTCAAATAACTAACTCACAAGCTTCCACTAGTGACGTGGGGTGGGGTTGTATGTAGATGCAGAGATACATCACAGGGATCAGTTGTATAATTTTGCTAGTGAAACCGCCAATTATTTTCTTTAGATTGAAAACACTATTTTGAGTTTCCTAGAGATCTATTTACATTTAAGAATTGAGCCATCCATGTCTTCATAATGAAGGACATATATTTCAGAAATGTCTACCTTGATTCTACTCTGATAGTGGTGTTTTTATGGGGGGAGCTAGCTAGCCTACTGGAAAGAGAATTATTATATTTTACAGCTCTGGGGAAGATCTGGATATGGAATATCATTACTCTTTCTGAGTTTCCTCCTCATGTTTTCACTGTACTCTTTCCAACTATTTTGCCTCCATGGCAGAGAACTTCTTAACATCCTCTTTCTCTTCCCACTTCGAATAAGTGAAGACAGGCTGGTGCCTACTTTGTGGGAAGGCTCTTGAGCAGAGAGAGATGCATTAAATTTTGGATTAAACCTGAAACCGTGCCGCCTCTTTGAGTAGTGGCCGCGTAAATGAGACAATCTAGAAACTCTGTTTCCCAGTAATTTGAACTGTTCATTTTCCAACCTAGGGCAGACAGGAGACAAGCTCTCCATTCTGTGGCTCTGCTGCCCTGTTGAACCCAAATTAAAGGAAGAGGGAAACATTCCAGCCCCACTCTGTTCAGGCAATGATGATTGAGCTGCTTTTTTCTCCATTATTAGCTCATTAATAAGATTTGCTTTCTTTGGTGCACCAGGGCCAAACATCTCAACTGGTGGCAAAAACTGAGCACTTGGAGGTTTGCTTGCTTCTATTTGTGTGAGATCTAGGTAGCCTGGGTCTTCCAGCACGTTGGTTTGGGACCCTGGGCTCAGGCTAGTTCTATCAGTGAATGAATCCACACGCCCATCATAGCCTAGATCGGCTGGTGCTGAGCACTGGTGCTGAGGCCAAGGGCGTTTGCTCTCTCCATGATTCTCCTTATCATCCCCACCATCTTCTTGCCCTCCTTGAAAAGAGTTCTCTGTCCAATCTGATTCCTCACTAACATTTACAGCTTTGTTCATGTCCCTCAGGAATACCACAATAACAGTGATATTATCACTTGACCCAGCATCACGAGCTGACGCCACTAGTTTGTGGGCAACCATGCTGCTATCTCCGTTATTCTCCTTCAGGTGGTCAGACACAACTTTCACTGCCTCATCAGGGTTCACGGTGTCGTAGAAGCCATCGCAGGCCAGAATGAGGTAGTCTTCCGTTCCATCCAAAACAGTAGAGGCGGAATCAGCATCCCCACAGATGTATGGCTTATGTTCAGCATCTCCTGTGGGAATTAAAAGATAGGTCAGAGTTTGGTTTAACTTGTATGTAAGAATGTTTACGGCCAATGCTATGACTCTGATCACAATCTGCTGCGTTGTGATAGGAGTTTATGAGCAAGAATCTATAAGCTAGTTTTAGATAAAATACTTGAACTCTGTTAATCAGATGCTGCTCACTCCATACTCTCAGTTAAATAAGTGCCATTCACTGGGCTTAGTTTCTTATCGAGCTTAGACTCTGACTCTTGTCCTCTAGCTACTATGACTTAGGGTTAGCTGAGCATGGCAACTAATGTCAAATCTAAATTTGTTGCTGTACTAAAAAATCCAACCCTACATAGGAAACCTTGTTGATTTAGTAGAGCTGTTCTTTTACTGGTGGTTAGGTTTGATTTGCGATTTGAGAACAAGGCCACATTGAAAAACAAACCAAAGTTCTGAACACGCTCTTCATTAAACACTTAATTTTTGTTCTGCCCTTGTTTAGACATCAGTAGCTTCATGATGTGAGCAAGGAGTAAGGTTTGAGTTAAAATCAAGTCCAAATCCCTCAAGCCAAGAAAAGTCACCCCAGACCTCCGACAAGGTTACTAGAATGTTAGTCTCTTGGCTCCCAGTCCAGTTTGCTTTTCGTTTTTTAAAGCTGCTTTGTGTACTACTCATAGAGAATAGTCAGAATGTGTATGATCATTTCTCTTGTCTTCAGGGATGACCATATTCTTCTAGCTTTCTTCGAATGTCTCAGATCTTCTGTCTTTATTGCTGCTGTTCACTCTCCATTTGTGAACAACTGGGAGAACGCCCCCCACCCCCACCCCCAAAGCCCTACTGGGCCTTGATTTCTCTCTCTTCTTGCTTAGTTCATCCACTTACAGAATGACATTTGAGCTGGGCATTGAAGGATCATTAGTTGTCACCAGGCAGAGTTGAGGGAACAGAATTAGCAAAGACAGAGAGGTAACTATTAGGGAGTAATGTGGAGTTGAATATAGGGTGCTTGGAGTAGAGATGGACTGGAGCCATCAGGCCCACAAAAGCTAGGTTTCTGTCACCAGACTACTAAAATCATCCATCATCTGCAGTGCATATTGGAACTTTCAGATCCAGTGCCCTTCCAAATCCATTCATTGTTTTCTTTTAGGTTTTTGGGCAAAGTCTAGCCAAAGGGTCCTTAGCCATTGGGTAACCAAATAGCTATTACTACAACAGGGACACTCACTTCTTTACATAAAAAACACAGACTATTGAGCAGTAATTCCTAGATTAGGGTATCATAATTCATCGATACTAGTTTTTAAAAATTTACGAAGTGCTTTATCATTTGTAAAGTGTGGCATATGCTTGCTTAGTGGTTAAGGATGCCAGCTAGAGTCAGACTGCCTGGGTCCAAATCCTAGCACTAGTTAAAAATCCTCATCAGTTACTGTCCTTTCCATCACACTGACACTGAACTTTCTGACCGGGGGAAAATAAAATGAAGTAAATATACTTAAGTGATCTGGCTGTATTATCACTTTCTAATATCTGTTACAGGTTCTTTCCTATCCAAGTAAGATTCTCTCCAACATTTCACATCCCTGTTCAATCCTCAGATAGGCTCAGAAAGCTCACTAGGAACCCTAGGGATAACCGCTAGCGCCAGTGAGGGCCACGTGTCCTACCCAGCAGGTTGCATGATGGGATACCCTGAACAACAGGTACTAAATATATTTATTTGTGTTAGTTTATCTATAAGGTAAAAAACTATCTTTTTCATACAGTAGCCAGAACCATTTTCCTCAACCTTGGTTTTGATTTTGTCAACTCCACTTTATGATACCTTTTAATTAGCCTGTTAAAGCTAATTAAACTTCCAATCATGGGCTTCAGTGTCCTCCACCAATTCACTTTACAAATTTCTCCATCCCCTATTCTGACTGGATTATTATCATCATTATTATTTTCTGAATTCCAGCTCTAAAAATAAATGTGATCTGAGTCATACTGTTCCCAAAAATCTTGTTTTAGTGTTTCAATTAAAAGACTACTGCAACTGTTAGTTTAGAACAGAACATACAAAGATTTGCACAGAGAAAACGCTGCCAAAATTCTGGCTTTTCACCTGCTCTACTGTTGGATGTCAAATTCATGACATTTCGCCCCCAAATTTGGTAGGAGGGCATGATTATCCATTTCATGGTAGAAATGGCAACATCCTTTTGTCTTCAACCTCCTCTCTCCGTATGCTAGGAAACATACCATGCTTCTGTCAACTTTGGTTCATAAATCTGAAGGGCTTATGGGGAGAAGCATTTTTAAATCTTTTTCTTTCTAAAGCTTTAAGTGTCATTTTCTTTCTTCTACGCAGAGTTGAACTCTGCTTAGGAGTCCTTCTGCGTGTCCCTATTTGGCTACCTATTTCATGAGCTTTCAAATCTCACATTGTTCAACTCTCTCTTCCAAGTTACTGGATTTCAGGAGATGGCCTAATTTCTTACTTCAAAGAAAATTAGGTTTATCAGCCTGAATTCCCTCAGTTCCTCCCCAACCCCCCATTTCTTCTTTTAAGCTGTAGAGATTCACCTCTATCAGCTACCATTTTCTGAGTCAGAGGCGTCCTTCTCAGAGCTATCCTGTGCTGTTGGACCTGTCTCTCTAGGGCTCCTGCTTCTCTCTCACATCTTCACTTTCTCTTCTGCTTGCTCTCTTCTTTTTTTCCTACAAACATGGTCTGATCTAAAATCTCATCCCAAAAACAGTAAAAGCAACCCTTTCCCAAATCAGATTTTCCCTCAAGCCACCACACTATTTCCCTTCACCACCAAATCTACATGTGCTCCTATGTTAGTGTTCATTTTCCCTCACCTGATTGTGTTCCGGTTTTTCCACCTATTAAGCCAAGACATTTCTCTCAAATGTTACCAATTATAGTAAGTCCTCACTTAATGTGGTCAATAGGCTCTTGGACTTTGAGTGCAACAACATAAAACGAAACCAGTTTACCACAGGCTAATTGATATACACAAGAGTTAAGTTCCTACAGCATCTCATCAATGTTATCATGACATGACGTTGAACGAAACATTATTCAAGGACCTGCTGTGTTTCCTATTTTCAAAATTCCAGGTCTCTTTTTAACTCACTTTGCACTTGACCCCTGCAGCACTTGACCCTGTTGACTGCTTGCTTACTCCTAGAAACCCGCTCCCCCAGCTCCTATGATACCCCGCTTGTATGACTGATCCCTTTTCTGTTTTCCTCACTGGCTCCTTCACTTGATAACAGCACTAACAATTACTGTGTGCTAAGACTGTGGTGGGCAGGATCCACGTGTGGTGCATGTGTATACCATTTAATACAAAAACTCCATGAATTAGGTACTGTTACTCTTCACACTTTACAAAGGAACAAATAGACACAGCGCAGTTAAGTCAACTTCCCTAGCCCCGCAGCTTGTAAAGTGGCAGATCCAAGATACAAACCCAGAAAGCATGACTTCATTATGTTATTCTCCCTTAAATATTGAGTCTCATCCTTGGTCTCTCCCTCTTCACGCTGCATATTCTTCCTGGGCAACGTCATCCATGCATATAGTTTCAACTAATAGATATATATAATATATAATATATATATATATCACTTCACAGGTTGCTAATATGATTGTCAAAACTGGATGAGTTCCCAAATCTCTATCTCCACCTTAGAGCTCTCTGCTAAGCTCCAGAACTGTATTTCCAACTGCATGTAAATGATCTCTTCCAAGACATCCCACAGGTACCTGCCATACAGAATATGTCCAAAATGCACTCCATTATCTGCCCTTCTCCCCACCCCCAGCGTTGCTGCTGCTTTATTACAAATGCTTTATCTTTTCAGTCACACAAGTCAGAAACCTGGAAGTTGCTTTTTCTCTTTCCCCACAAACTGTCATTTCTGTCTCATCAGTTTATACCCTCCTCTGTATCCTGCTTAGCTTTCCTCTAACAAACTGTTATCACCAGCCCCCTGAATTATCGCTCCTCTAGGCCTTCTACTGTAGTCTGCCTTCCATATGCCATCATTACAGATATCTTACCAACACAAACCTGGTCATTCACCTGGTAAAGCCCCTCATAATCAGACATCAACACTCCCCTCTTCCGACTCGCCCTCTGCCGCAGCCTCCTGGACTGGCTGCTCTGCCAGGCACCCTTTGTGTGTGTTCCCCTATTCCTGTCATTTCCCCCCTGAACACTACCCTCCATATCCAACTCCAAAGTCACTGCCTCTGTGAAGTCTGCCTTCTTCTCTTAGACTGTCACTTATTCAAGGGCATCCTTCCCCTGCTGTAGTTTCCCCTTGTGTTATATTTTTAGAAACAAGAAAAAGCGAGTGTCCTCTAGTACAGCTGGTTCTATAGCAGGCATTAAAGACTCCTCTCGATAGGTACTCTGACACAGACGGGAAGATCAAGAGGAAGAGGTCTTTGGTTGGAATTGTGAAAAAATAATTCTGTATGGAGGTATGTTTTAGAAATGGCAAGTTTCCCCTATATGGCCTTATTCCAGAGTTCTTAATAACTCCCTCAGTCATAAGGAAAGCCCACTTTCAGTTTCTCAGGAGGCATTTGCAGAATTTTTCTTTCACTCAGCCTTCGGCTGCTGCATTTGGGCCACTTCACAGCTTGCCCCAGCCCCCAGCATCTTACCAGAGGAGGGGGGGAGGAACTCACATCAGTGGTGAAACTGAATCAGTACCCTGAGATTTTGTTAATGTTGTGGAATTTTTTGGTAATGATAAGCAAAACTTGGAGATTAGGTGTGAATTCCATTTATCCGTGTTATCCCTGTACCAACCTACTTCATTTCTTCAGGAGGCAGTGACTAAGAACTGCAGTAGTGTGCATATCACCTAGGCAGACACACATTGATTTATTCTTTTCAAAAAACCAGAAAATGAAGCTAAGCCACGAAGCCTAAAAATAATAAGCCCAGGTGCCAAAGTGAAACAAAGACAGAAACAGGACTATATATAGCTCAACTTTTTGAACTTGCACTTTGTCCAGTCACCTCAGCTGTTTACTCTTTCAAGGTTTAGATAGAGTTTTGTTGACTTTCTGCTTCTTTTGAAGAATTTAGGTCCCAGGGAGCAGATTCTTTGAAATCCAGCATTGTCTAGCAAATTATTATATTCCTCATATAGAAAGTTATTTTCATTTAAAAAGCACAATGTTTCTCCTATGAATTTGTTCTCTGTTGTTTATGTCATTTTATAATTCACTGAAAGAAATTTCAGTCTGCAAGGTAAAATATGGGGGGGGGGACCTTCCATTCTCTGGAAAATACTGATTTAAACTAAATATGAACCAAAACGCAATGAAATGAGGATCATTGTGGTTTTAAGCGGATTTGTGTACCAAAGATTAAAGGTTTCCATTTTAAAAAAAGGACAGAAACTAGTAAGTTCTGCATTTCTCAATATAATTCCCTTTTAAAATGGAACTTAAGTATATAAATGAGTAGGTTAATTAAATCAAATAACTAAAAGAGGCATCATCCAACTGTTATTTTAAATAATAAGCACACTGATAATATAAATTATCATCTCAAGGTCCCTTGTATCAGAGTTAATATAAGACAATGAGCCAGAAGAGGACAGTTTAGAGAAATAAAAATTAATTGGTTTTTCCTACCAATGGCTCTGGAGACTGACAGACTTCCATTCACCCTCCAGGCACCAAACCAGACTACACAACCTCCAAGGGCTTCAATTCGCTGCTTTTCATCCTAAACAGCAATGCAATAAAAGAAGCAAATAATTAGATTCAGGATTTATTCATCTACCTTAACAGTAAACAACAGATATAATACTCATCAGCTTCTCTTTATTTCTCCTTTGGAAGGTGGGCATGGTTGTGAGATAATAGTGATAATTATGGTAATTAAGTGAATCTTAATTAACTAAAAAACTGCCTTTGTGGAACAGACCATACTTACCTCCCTGTCCGGTTTGTGTGGCTTCATTAGTTCAACAGCTTGGCCCTTTCTCACAAGCATAACCTGGGAATCACCCACCCAGGCCACATGTAGCATGTTGCCTCTGATAAAGGTCACCACTCCTGTGGTCCCACATCTTAAGCTCTGGAAATAGTTTAAATAAAACTAGAGTCAGTAAAAATAAATAGATATCAAATTCTCATTGAGAGCAATTTATAGTTGATACAGACATTTCATTTGGGAGCTAGACTATTAATTCGATTTCACAAATACACAGCAATTCCTATTTAATTCAAATATCTTATTTTATATGTATTTATGTGTGCACACACACAGACCCGTTTGATCTGTGATATGCAAGACGGGGATGATGATGATTCTATTTTATACACAGATAAGAAAACGACGGCAGGTTGTGTGACTTGTCCAAGGGCAGGTAAATGATTAGTACACAAAAGAGAAATGAGATTCTTTTTCCTCCTAGTCCAGTGCCGAATCCATTACATCAACCCTAAGAGTACAGATAACCATATTCTGGTCCCTGTTTCGTTACTGACCTACTGTATGTCTAGGGGGAGAGTCCTAGCTTTACAAAATAACATATAAAGCATCTGACTGCTACATAAATGCTCCCATACTCTGGATATTAAGAGAGGAGCCAAGAGATAACATACATTCCCTGGAGTGGTAAGATACTTATATCGCAAACAAAAAAACTCCTCTACAATAATTTTAGGGGCTTTTGCTTGTGGAACATTGCATAAAGAACTAACAGCCTGGAATTTCACTGCAGTAGCTCAGTACCACTGTACTTAATGCTCTTGATACTAATATACTGAGATGACATCTCCACTTGACATGAGTCACCACCAAATGAGCATGACTTTCTGTTACTAAGGACTTAGCCTAAATTAGAACCAGTGCGTCGAGGGTAGTAAAAGGCCCCTTGTAGCCAATGAGAAAAACAACTTCTCCTTTTCCCTATATAGGGAAAGTTTGTTATAAATCCTCACCCACCAATAAAATGTCTTCCCACACAGACTGTTCAAAAACTCAGCCCCCTGGAACACATGATAAAGACACTTGAGTGCATATGCCCTGGAGAGAACAGGAGGCAGGGCTGCCTCACAACAGGAATAGCTACTTTCTTCCCAGCAGTTAGCAGCACATGGAAGCACAAGGAGAAAAGGAACTGCTGAGACAAACCTAAATTATTCAAGAGAATTGTTGGCAGGACTGGGGGACACTAGGCTCACTGGCAAAGCAAATGAGGTGACATGGTCAGAAAAGCCCTAATTTTGAGGACACAGGAAAAGGGATAGAGGATGAGGAAGACCCGTGATTCTCTTAGTTTCACGTGGGTGATGACAGATCACCTCTCAGCAGGTTCTGTCCTCAGTCAGGATGATGACAGCCAGCAGCTCCACGGCAGATAGCCACGCAGTGCTGGCCCTTGAGAGATTGGAAGGTCTGAGGTCAACAATTTTATCTTGTTTTCTAGCCCTGCCTCTATATGTAGACCTTAGTGGTGACCGTTGTTGGATTTGCATATTAACCTAAACTTGGGTTGCGGGTGGGGAGATACAGAATATTTCTCTTGCTTAGTACCAAATAGTTCTGAGTTATTGTTTCATTAATTCCAAGCCCCACTACTATACTTAACTATGAGATCAAGGGAATGGCTTAAAATGATTACCCTGTGCCCTCCAAGTCCTTTCAAAAGAGTTAATGTTTCGGTCATAGTACAGGATTCTGATTTTCTGTGTGTATATAATTCGGTAATTACTCTTAAAAATTATTCTCTTTTGATTGGCCCCCAGTTAGAAATGAACATAGAGTACTATAATTATGTACCAACACCCAGAATGATAATTAGATTAAAATTTTTACTTCTAGATCTTCATATAGAACCCCTGTCATTCATTCAGAATAAACACCTTAAGCCTGATTACCCCTAAGCAATTAGGACGTGAGTGTGAACTGTTCTTCCTGTTAAGAGAAAATCAGTTCAAGGATCATCTAAGGATTCACTCTCTCCAAGCAAATTTTCCCTCAAGAGAGACACAGTGAAACACTGCCAACCATTTAGAACCAAATGTATGGGAGTAATCCCAGCTTCTGTTTCTTTTTTAGACCATTGTTTTAATCACCATATTCAGATTTCATCAGCAAAAGTCTGCTTGGAGAGATGGTCCTGGTGTGAACCTGGCAGGCGATGGTGAATAAGAAAGATAAGACTCACCTGCCTGATCCAGCAATGGATTGCCTTTCTAGAAAATTATAGCTTGGGAGTTTCTCTACCGTACGTCATAGCACCCCACCAAAACTCTTCCTGGAAACAGAATTAGAACTACAACAGAACCCAGTACTATGGGTCAAGAATACAATTTGGAAGAGAACTTTAAATAATGCCTGCCCAAAACGAGAAAATCCAAAATAGCCCTTTAGCCCCAGACCAAGGCGAGCTCAGCTAGTGCACTCGTGGCTAGAATTCATGAGAAAATGCCTACCTCCCTGGCTGCTTTCTGCACAAACCGTTCATCAGTGACCCGGAAGGCCCGGCACAGGGCCTCGGCAGGGTCGTGGGGGAACATCTCCTGGCGGACTAAGTTAACGTGCAGGTGAACGGAGGCATAGATGGCAGCATCCACTCCCCCATGGCCATCAAACACGGCAAAGTAAGCTTGTTCTTCCTGGTCCTGTTAACAGAAGCAGAAACAGTTACGGGAGTTAGGCATAACGTGATTCAAATGAGCCAGTGCCTGCGCCGTAGCCCATCCTCCACTGCATTTGCCACCCAGATAGACTAAATCTTTCCCTTTTCTGACATGCCTCATCAGCTGCTAAAATACCTGCAATATTAGGGCACCTGCTTACACACCAGAACGCGAACACATCATGCCCAATTAGCTCAGGCTGAGGTGCCCTCTGAAAGCTGTTGTCTTGTACCATGGAAACCACCCACATACATTTGCTTCAAAATTGCTGCTGCAATTTTGAGGGGAGAGGGAGAAAAGAGAAATTAGGAGGAATTGAACAAAAGCCGTTATGGATTGAGTATTTTTTCCAAAAAGTATTTTAATAGAAACTGAGAACAAAAGGAAATAATCGCCTTCCAGCACAAGGCCAATTATGTTATGTTGTTGAACATACACGGAGATCATAAAAGCACACACATACTTCTGAACTATAATATCTCCTTCAAAAGTCATTCATGATCACAATCCTCACCATAAATAACAGTCTAAACAGGTTAGCAAAACTTGAACCCATCGGATGTCCAAATGCCCCGTTACACTTGACCTGGTCCCTTATCCAGGCTTAGCTTCACATTTCCTGGCCCACCCACTGCCTGAAGCGCTAAAACAACTGCCAGAGGAGGGTCTGCCAAGCCTGTGCTCTGTCCTGACAAAGGCAGCCTAATCACAAGGTCTCATGAAAACCGTCAGGAGTTTGCTTCTTCATCTTCAGCTCAAGTGTTTAAATCACAGTCCGAGCTCAGACCTGTAGCTCACTGAACTCTCACCGAGTCCTGGACTCCCTTTAGGCAACAGTAGGGAATGACTTTGTCTTTGACATTCCTTAGGCTCTAGGAGCTCGGATGAGTCCAGGTCCTGTCATTCAAAGTAAATCAAGCATACAAAATAAATCATACCATTTTCTTGTGCTTGTTTTCCCATCTGTTAGGTAGCGATGAGTTACCATCTCTTGGGGATTTGGTCAACAACAGGTATATTTGTGCTTTGAAAAAGTTCTTTTAAAGGGTATGCTACATTTACAAAAGTACCACATATAAATGTCCGTAGAGTAATGATAATACCCAAATATTAGGAAATCTATATCTAATCTATAATTAGCTAATACAGCAATGTAATCAACACCATCTAATTGGGTTGTCGGAAAAGTCATGACGCATTTTTGCAACAAAAAAAAGAGAAAAAATATGTCCTGACTTTTCCGACAACCCAATATATATATATATATATAATGCCATCAGAGATTGACTGATTAAAGTACCTAGAAAAAAAGTCCTGACATGTATAATAGCATTTCTACCCGTACTGAAGTGTAGTACTCATTTTTAAACAACCCAGTTGGCAGGACAAGGGTAAAATTGCAAACCAGCAGATACAAGCAGTTTTTAAATGATGACTAAGCTGTTGTGGGATTAGCACAAAAGGGAGGGGCAGTAATATCTCTGTGGGGGTGTGAGACTATAACTAAACAATGGGAGATTGGGGGGGGGGGAGATTTCTTAATATAGCATCAGAAGAAACAGAAGGGAGCCAAATGGATCTCTTTAAATAATCAGTATAGCTTCTTAAATTGAAAAAGATACTGATGTTTCACATTGTAAATATAATGTATGCAGGTTTGGACTAATAAAGAAGTGTAAAGAAGTAAATTATAATCCCACCATCCACAGATAACTAGTCATTTTTCTCTATATATACATTTTTAAATAAAAGTAGGATCATACTGTACATAGAATTTTATATCCTGCTTTTTGTCATTTATTATATCATTAGCATTTCCCCCATGTCATTACCCAAAGACATAACTAAATGGGCACATACTGTACATCTTAGGAGCATACCACAGTTACCATTCCCTATGTGTAATGATGTAGATCATTTACAATTTTTTATTATTGACAGTGTTGTGTAAAATATTTATGTCAAACAAAACATATAGGTAAGACTTATGCATTTCTGTTTCTTATAAAATTAAAAGAGAAATGACCAGATCAAGGGGTATGTCAATTTACAAGGTTCTAAGAATGTGTTGCCAAATTGCCCTCAAAGCCTGTTTCACTATAGCAAGGTGTTCCTTTTTGAGTTAGGCCTTTCAACTGATTTTGAGGCAAAATGAAAACCAACCAAGTCAACCAATGGCAATAATACCCTCAAACCTGAATATAATCTTCAAGTGGGTGTAGTGGTATAAAGGATTGTTTATCACGTGACAGTCTTTTGGGTTAATTTGCAAGGTAACATTTGGAAACAGGTACCACCTGATCTATCTTAGTAAAATAAGCGCCAATTATCAACCCACCATCACTGCTTATCAGAACTTAACAGTCAGCTAAAATTTAAATTTAGCTGCTAAATAAAGGAAATACTGTGCTTTGTAAAAATTACTGCATTGTAATTTCTAAGTTATGGACTTGAGTGAAGAGGCAAGTGACAGGCAAAGGAAACAAACCTACCTCTGTTTGCATTAACATAATACACTTAATAAAAAGAGAAGAGGATGATAACAAGAAAACGGTTATTAAGTTGACAAGGCTCATATGATCCAATTTGTCAGTCACAGAGATTCATGAAATGCAATTCCAGCTACTTTCCTATCTCAGAAACCGAGATTTAAGAAAAGAAAACCACATGAAACCAGAAATCTCAGTCTCAGATTCATTCTTTTATGTTTCTGTTTCGTGTTGCTTCAGCAACATAGTAATGTGGGAATTTAATAAATGCCATTTGATTATACTATCAAAGTAGTTTCCTTATAAAACAGCTTTGTTAAGATAACAACAAATTTCTTCTTGGCTTGTAGGTATGTTTATAGAATAGCTCTGGAAGGTTACACAAGAAACTGATAATTCTCTTGCCTTCCTGGAGGGGAACGGAGTGAGACAAGGATGAGAGAGATTTTATTTTCCAGTTCTAAAACCACGTAAACTCATTACCTATTCAAATAACAGACTGGGTCCTTTCCTGTTATCTGATGCACGCACACCTGTGCCACCTTGCCCTGAGCCCCATTCCAGCCTATCAGAGAGAGCTACTAGAAGTATACTGTGGGTTTTCCTGTTAGCAAACAGGACCAGGAGGATGTTTGTTTTGCTTTTTAAATCTCATTGACTCTTCAGAAGTGCCCTTTACCTCTAGGTTGAAGAGCATATTAAAGTCAGGAATGCAGACATGTTTGTCCTCCATTTTCCTGCGCATGTTTTTGATGGCATGGATTGACGTCTCATAATAAAGCTGGGGCCTCCTGCGGAGAGGGAAGTCTTTCACCCAGCTGCAGCAAATCTCGTGCAGTTTGCTGAAGACAGAACGGGCCAATTTCACTGTCTCAATCTCTGAAAGAAACAGAACCCGCAATGAAGAGCCTTGTAAAAACTGCTTTTCACTTGCCTGATTGGTCAAGACAGAAGTAGGTCACATTAGTCAAGCTCCTTCTTAAAGGAAGACATTCCCCCTTCTCAAGAGAAATGAAATGTTGATTCTGGAGAGAGAAAATGACAACCTATCTAACAGAAAAATCATCAGCCAGCAGCCACCACTAAAATAATCCTTAGGTCCTGAGGAGAAAAACCTCTGGTCAGGGCTGGATCTTTTCCTGGGCTGGACTTATTCTCGCCTGTGAAGTGCTCAGGCCACTGCTATCGAGTTCAGAGTGCTGGTTCCCTTCTGGTTGGCTGCCATGGTTATCATTGGGAGAGCCAGCCCCCTATGCTTAGAATGCCTGAAATAGGAACAGTGGTTATCCAGTTAATTGGAATATGAAAACAGATTATTTATTTACAAACTACAGGAATAAGAGTTTGCCTTGATTATACATTTGTCTTTGTCTCGCTTTCTTTCTGACCTCTTTATCTCCTTCCAGTTCCCCAACTTTTCTCTCCTGTAAGTGATCATAATTTGGAACTAAATTTTAGTTGATGTATTTTTAATTAACGTGCTAAGCAGTAACTTAAATAATTTAGCAAATGAGTTAAGAGTTTTATATTTCTCTAAGGAAAAAAAGTACTTAAATTCTATGTGTATAACCCTAGACTATTTCAGTCTGCTACATGACCTGTTAAGTGGAGTAGCCTGGGTGACAGCTGAGGCTGACTTGCATCCCTCAGTGGATAGACAGATGGGAAAGCCCTTTAAGCAACGCTAAATAGTACTGACCAGATTGATCATCTCCAGTCAAGCTGTCCTCTACTCAAGTTGCAGCTATGGAAATAACCAAGGGAGATCACGTTTTCTTAGGACAGTATTTTAGTGGTTCCTCCTATATCCCAGGTAAAAAAAAAAAAAATTTTAACTTTACTAAATCAAATATAGTGTGACAGCCTGAGAAAATGTGTGCCAGATGGGAAATGGCTGTGCATACCTCCTCCAATCTAGAACACAAATTCCAAAGAAGAATGTTCTAGAACAACTTGGGAACTTAACATTCTCATTTTATATTCCTTGCCCTGTCATTGCCTTAATCTGTGACTACATTTACCTGTTTTCTTATTCAAAATTCTTTTTCAAATGACTGTGTTCAGAAAACTGATCTCAAGGTTTTTGTTGCTTTTTTCCTCATTAACATAATACAGAGTGGTAAACCATGTTTTGTGGCTTTGGCCCCTTGACATTTTTATATAACAGAAAATCAACGGTGTATCTGAAAGAGAAAAGTTCAAAGAGCAAATAAAACCTGAGGACGTGTGTGTAAGAGGGAAACTGAGGCCAAACAGACAACCCAACATTTTGATTGTTTTGAGCATCTCCGGCCTTTGTTTTAGCCAGTAATGACCTACTGGTATTACTCCACCTCTGTGGTCTCTGCAGCAGTACCACCCCCAAATTCAGATCCTGCATTTGTGTGCATTTGACTCAGTCACAACAGAGGATTGCCAAACAATACGTGAATTCAGAAACTCGGAGGGAAAATGGGGTGGAGTGAAACAAATAACTGATGTTAACTATCAGGATAGTTTCTAAACTTCCAGATAATAATATAAACCACTGTATCATTCTTTGGTTTGTATATGACTCTTATTATATAGACCTGGACTATCATAATAAGGTAGCTTCCTAGCTACATGTGGCTATTTAATTTTAAATTAATTAAAATTAAAGTTAAAATTCGGTTTTGGGTCACATTAGCTATACTTCTAGTGTTCAATAACTGCATATGGCTAGTGGCTACCACACTGGAAAACAGGTAGAGAACATTTCCATCATTGTGCTGTCTACTGGACAGTGCTGGTGTAGACAGATTAAAATGGTTAGGGGAAGAAATACCAGCTCCCACTAATATTCACCCCTCCCGGTTGATCCTTTTCTTATGTTCCCGTTACACTTTGTTCACACATCTATTGTAGCTCTTACTGCATTTTGTAACAATAGATAACATTTTGGGGGGTACTGGCTACATTCTGTGTCTCTGGAATATTTCACAAACAGGTGAAGCCATTTTCAGTCTGACTCTGAACACCCATGCCCTACATTTCCTAAATAAGACTGCAGATAGAGACTGTCTTAATTTTCCTTGATTAGTCATAGTACAGTACCTAGCAGATAGCAGGGCTCAGTAGATGTTTATTGAATAAATGAATATGCAAACATATAAATTAATCATTAAAATGTTAAAATATTTGTATGCTTGATCATCTCCTCCGCTTCACCGATCTTTCCATCTATTTCTAAAATGGTGCCATTCTTTTAAAATTACTATAACTTTATATATAATATCAGAAGGACAAGTTTTCCTACCTATTAGTCGTAATTTTAAAGATGTCACTTTACTTTGACATGTTTATTCTTCCAGATGAAGTTATTTTGCCAATTTTTTTTGCCAAGTTTTAGAGGGGAAATCAGTTGCCATTGTGTTTCGGATCACACTGAATTTATAATTTGGGAAAAATGACATGTTTTTCGTAAGGAATCTTAATCCAGGAACAAGTTACATTGTTTCACTAATTTGAATCCTTTTATATTGCTCAATAGAATTTTAATATAGGTTTCATATTAATGAATTCAATTCCTAGTTATTTTTACTTGGTATTTTGAGTCAGAACTTTGCTTTAATGTGTTATTTGCCACCCAGCAAACATTCCTCTTTCTACCAGGAACATTCCTTCTCTACTTTCAGTCCATGCATATCTAGGGGTAAAAGGTGATTCAGGTCTGGCCAATTAAGAGACTCACACCCCTCTGGCCATAGTGATTGGTTCAGGAATGGGAAATAATCCAAGCTAGGCTGATTAAAACCTGTGACATGTTAAGAGCCACGGAGTAAAGTTACTCTTATTTTCCTTGCTTGATTTGAACTTGGGCAGCTGAAGACCTGGCGCTCCTAGCAGTCGTTTTGCCACCGTATGGAGCCTGAAAATAAAATCAAAATGAAAAAGAGTACAGCTGAGAGTTGGAGTGTTTCCAGGTTCTGATGACATTATGTGAAGCCTTGAATCTAGCTGTGTAGCTCTTACCTTGAAGGGTAGCCAATAAATTCTGTTTTGCTGAAGCCAATTTCAGTTGTGTTGGTGGTGACTTTGCAACCGAATAATTCTTGAGTATACATCAAGCATAAATGCTAGATTTTCGGTTGAGCCATATTTTGTCCTACAATGTCCAAAATGTATCCATCTAGTCCTACTTTATTAAGTATATGTTTAAAAATAAGGAATGTGTATTGAATTTTATCAAATGGGCATCTTTGGGCATCTTTAGAGATTTTTCTGGTTTTTTTTCTTTTGACCTATTAATATATAAAGTATGCTAATCGATTTCCCAATATTTTTGTTTTGTTCACTGCTGTTTACCTAGCATAGTGCCAAGTACAAGGTAGGCCCCAAATAAAATACTCATCAAATGAATTAACTGTTGTACTTAATGTACAAATACTTTACCTAATATGTTTAATATTGATTACTAAGATTGATCTCATTTCATTTTTTAATTTTGTCTTAGACGAGTATTGGTATCACTATTATGCTGTGCCAAACTTCCTTCTTTCTCTATGCAATTGAATAATTCACTTTAAAAAGCACTGGAATTTTCTGTCTTTGATTGTTCACCTGCAGAATCATCTACTCCTTGTCCTTTTGGAAAGATAGCTCCTTAACAATCTTCTCAATCTCTTTCTTTGTTAATTTGTATTTTTCTAGAAAATGCCCAGGTTTTCAAATTTATTCACACAAAGTTTAAAAAATTCTTTTAATTTCCTTTGTATTAGTGATCATTTTCCCCTTCTTCTTTTTGATTTTTACATTGGGATATTTCAACCTGAAATTGATTTTAGGTTTTCTAGTCAGGAGTTACATCTGCTAAACTAAATTTGTACCAACAGATATGCAAGGTTGTTTAGCAAACATTCTGTCACGGATGATGTAAACATGAAAAGAACTTTAAGGATTTTTTTACAAAACTGTTTTTGGAAACAACTAACAGGCGAGACAAGAAGCATTTCAGTGAGAACTTCATACCTTTCCACCAGTGACAGCAGGCCTTATTCAGTATTCTCATTTCCCACTCTGCTATGTGGAGAAATACAACATGCCCTGTAGAGATGCTCCTCAGTGCAGTTCACACTGAGTGATTTGGGTTAAACAGGTTAAGGACTTGCAAATAGTCGAGAATTATAATAGATCATTTTGAATCACAGCAGTGGCATGGAGACATTACTGGGTAATCTCTTGGAAAAAACATAAACTGAAGGAGCAGTGATATCCACCAAAAGAAACACCCTTCATTTCACTTTTGCTATCTTCTGGGGGTTCAGAAAATTCTTCCAAAGTCGGCATGTAGGGCAGTCCTTCAATCTTGCTACTTTAAGTATTCTCCTTCTGCAGGGAGTGGTGTTGAACATTAGTATATAAATAATTGCTGCTTGAAACAGAAAAATAAAATTGAAAAGGGTGTGAAAAAAAAGAAAGTTGTTCAAAGTAGTAGTCCACCCCCTCACAGCTGTAAATTACTCATCAGTCGTTAATATCACTGAGCTGAGCTGGAGCTGAGTCAGCCATCAGCCTGGCTGCGGTGAAGCAGAATTTACTCTCCCTCATCTTTTCATTACAGGGCTTTTACTTCATGCATCAGTTCCAGAGGAAAGACCAATGCTTTGTAGCAGGATTCCATCCAACTTGACGTTGGAACAATTTGTTTCCAAGTGAATCAATTACTCTCAGTAAAAAACAAGCACAGGAATTCCTTCCTTGCCCATTTTCTGTCAAAAATGATCTAGAGACATAAAGGAGGAACAGGAATGCTTGTATCTGCCTCACATTCTCTGGAATCTAGCTACTGTAACTCATTAATATATGCTTTGCTCCTTATGCACCATATTTCAAGGCAAATGCTTAAAATAGAACAATGAAATATTAAAATTCCTTAACAATTTTTAGTAATTCTTCAATTTTTACAAAAATCGGTATTTCTTTAGAGCATATCAAATATGTATCAGTCTAATACATTCATAAATATGCCTGCCTTAATAAGTAAAACCTCATAATTTGCCTGGATAAAAGAAGTACAGTGATCCATGCAATTAAATCACATGTTGTCTGACTGTCATAAAGAGCTCTATTTATTGGTTGATATAAAATTTAATATAATTATTGAGAAGTTTTGTTACAGAGTCCTTGAATTTTTATATCTGGTTTTTTACTTGGATTCTTAAAGGTAAGCTAAAATTTTTAAATACTTATTCTCAAACTCTGTCTCCCCTCACTCATTCATCTTTCCTGTTTTCTTCACATGATGTAGGAAAGTACTCACCCACAGTTCCTTCTGTGCCATCCGTTTCCTTGGGGATGTAGTGTGCAGAAAGGTCACTCTGAAGGACTTCATCTGATGTGGCTCTGGCCAAAGCAGCAGCCAAAAAGGAAGGGCAGTTACTGAAAGAGAAAAATAAAAGAATCAGGAAATAATACATTCAACATTATTCTTAACATATTACCTCTACCTCATAAAAAAATTATACCTTTAAACAATATTCACATTTATTGAGTGCATATTATGTGCTAGGCCCTGTAACACAAGCAGACATAGGCCCTGACCTAGTGGGGCATATAATCTAGTTAGTGTTGACTGGCGAAAAATAAGTTTCCAAGTAAACCACAAAAGAAAAGGTTTATTTGGGAAAAGAAAAAGAAGCAAGACCACCACCGCTGTGCGAGAATGCACAGCTCTGACACAGGCTCCAACCAGTAACCCACATGTAGGGAAAAAAAACCCGGGTTCCAGGGCCGCCAAGTGGCGCGTTGATTAGGAGTTGGCTTGGGACACCAGCTCTGAGCAGCAGGGCCCCGGTTCAGATCCCACAGGAGGACCAGTGATGCTGCGCCCTCTACAGCTAAGATGGTGAACAACAGCTTGACCTGAAGCTGGGCTGCCGTGAGTCGCCGGTGATGGCATAGGCTGCAGTGGGGCTGGCCGGCAGCTGGTGTGTGCTTTCGTGAGCTGCCCTGACCCACCGTGAGCGGCTATCCAATGGTCGGTGAGTGACTGCACCCGGGAAGAGTGCAATGATAATACCAACATGGGCCAGTAAAGCGATGTCCTCCACAACTAGACTGAAGAACAAAAGGACAGCCACTTGTCTGTTCCCCTTCCCCAATTCCCCAATGCTGTTCCCTACACCAATTCCCCAATAAAATCTTAAAAAAAAAAAAAGACCCGGCTTCCAAGATGGCTAATCCCTTTATTATTATCCTCCCCCAGAAATTACCATAAGGATAAATGGGAAGTCAGGATTATAGCGTTAACAAGGGAGGGGCCCAGCACCACCCATAGTCCTCCTGACTCAATGGTTAAGCATCTTAAGATGCCAGTTCACTTTATCATTCCCCCCTCTTGATCAAGATCTTTCTTCTAAAAGATCATTGATCATTAGGAAGACAGATGATAAATAAGTAATCAAATAGGATATAACAACATTGGGACAGGTTTTATAAAGGAAACAGGATACAGTGATAGAGAATAAGAGGGGATAGGTACATACTAAAAACGGCCAAGAATGCCGTACCTTAAGGATGAGAAAGCCTCAGGTGTGTGGGGGTGGGAAGCTGGGAGAGAATGTTCCAGGCAGAGAAAATAGCATGTGTACAGACTATTTCTGAGAGCTTGGTATGTTTGAGGAACTGAAAGAAGCCCAGAGAAGACGTAGTGGGTAAGGGAGAAAACAGCAGGGAATAGGTCAGAGGAACAGGCGAAGATCAGTTATATGGACCTTGTAGAGCATAGTAAGGAATTTGGATTTTACTCCAAGTGCAGTGGGAAGTCACAGAAGATTGTGAGCAAGAGAATGCCATAAGCAGACGTGAATTAAAATATTACTTTGCTGTGTCAAAGGAAATTGGAAGGGAGCAAGAATGTAGGAGGGTGACCAATGAAATTATTGTGAAAGAATGTAAAGTATATTTTGGAGAAAGATTGTTGGATGTAGATGGAGAGAAAAGACAAGGCTGAGTCCTGGGTTTGGGTGTTGGTCTGGGAATGGTGGCATCATTCACCTAGATGGAGAACCCAGGAAAAGAACAGGTTTGTGGAGGAAAAGGGGTCAAGTAGAAAACAAGAATTCATTTTAGCATGTGAAGATGGAAACATCTGTGTGATATCCTAGTGCAGGTGTCAAATTGTTAATGAGATATTCGAATGTGAAGCTCACAGATTTTAGGAAATTTGGAAGTCATGAATTTATGGATGGTATTTAGAACTATGGAAACAGAATGTATCACATAGGGAGAATATAAAACGAGAATTGCTATGGACCAGGGACTTCCATGTGTCTCCTGTTTTCCCCTTTTGGAACAGGAAGCTTATCTCATGTCTCACCATGGTATGTTGGCTAGTGGTGGGGTAGGGGGAAGATAATTTGTGTCTTGGTCCCCAAGTTTTCAAATCAAGTGGAACTACATTCAAGGTGCTGTCATCAAGAAATTGTTCCCAAGGGATCTGCACCTGTACCACCTAGACCTGACCTCAGTGAGATCCTGAACCTCAAGCCTGAGCCTGATGCCATAAATGGGTGACCCTTTGGGGGGAGGGTGTGAACTGTGCGGCCAGAACAGGCTGTGGCAGGTTGTTTTTTCTAAAGGCCACAGCAATATTTCTGGTCCCATACACCCTTTAAGAACCTTACCATTCCATAGAAAGGCAATCTGTCCCCTTCTTTGAATGTGAGACTTTAAGGAAAAAAAAGTGACAAAAGTGATGCTGTGTGATTTCTGAGTTTTGGTCATAAAAGACTACATGACTTTCCCCTGGCTTTCTCTTCTCTGTCTCTCCCTCCCTCCCTCCCTTTCTGTTCCCTCTCCCCTCTCCTGCCTCCCCCAGACATGGACAGGCTCATGTGGAGGTGAACTGAGGCTCCCTTGTCAATATTATCAGCTGCCTGACACGTAATGGCACAGGCCTTCAGATGACACCGGTCCTCAGCCTGAGTCTTCCAGCGGAGGGCCCCAGACATCATGGATCAGAGATAAGCTGACCCTGCTTTGTCCCGTCTGAGTTCCTGGACCAAAGAAACTGTGAACGTAATAAATGATTGTTTTATGTCACTAAGTTTTGTGCTAATTTATTACATAGCCTTAGTAACTGAAAACACAATATTTAGAAAAAGGCTGGTAGAAGATACGGAACCTATAAATACTGAAAAGAAATAGCAAGGTAAGTAAAAGGAGAAACAAGAGAGTAGAATATTTGAAGGAGGGAATGGTCAACTATGTCAATACTGCTGAGAAGTCAAGATTAGGGGAAAAAATGGATATTGAATTTAATAACATGTAAATCATCACTGACTGGGTACCAAGAAAATTCAACGGGGAAAGAACAGTCTGTTCCACAAATGGTGCTGGGACAATTGGATAGCCACATGCAAAATAACCAAGTTAGACTCTCCTTACACTTACATATAAAAATTTACTCAAAATGGACCATAGAGCTAAAACTATAAAAACCTGAAAAGAAAACACAGAAGTAAAACCTCATGACCTTGAATTAGACAATGGTTTTCTCCTAAATATGACACCCAAAACACAAGCAACAAAATAAAAAAGAATTAAACTGGACTACATCAAAATTAAAAACATGCCACAAATCAAGAAAATGAAAAGACAACTCACAGAATGGTAGAAAATATTTGCAAATCATATATTTGATGAGGGACTGGTATCTAGAATATATAAAGAACTCTTAGAATTCAATAATAGACAACCCAATTTAAAAATGGGCAAAGGCTATAAATAGGTATTTTTCCAAAGAAGACATTGAAATGGCCAACAAGCACAAGAAAAAATAATCAACATCATTAGTCATTAGGGAAAAGCTAATCAGAACCACAGTGAGATACCATTTCTCACCCAGTAGAATTGACTGTAATAAAAAAGGAGGTAATAAGTGTTGGTGACTGTAGAAAAACTGGAGCTCTCATCTATTTCTGGTGGGAATATAAAATGGTGCAGCTGCTTTGGCAGTTTCCAAAAATGTTAAACACAAAGTTATTATATGGCTCAGCCATTCCACTCACAGATGTATATCCAAGAGAAATAAAAGCATCTCCACACAAAAACTCGTACGTGAATGTTCACAACAGCATTATTCATAATAGCCAAAAAGTAGAAACAACCAAATGTCCATCAACTGCTTAGGGGTAAATAAAAGCCAGTCTATTCATACCATGGAGTATTATTCAGCCATAAAAGGGATTAAGTGCTGATATATGCTACAATATGGATGAACCTCCAAGGCATGGTAAGCAACAAAAGCCAGTCACAAAAGACCACGTGTTGGATTCTATTTATATGAAATGTCCAGAATAGGCAAAGCTATAGAAATAGAAAGTATAGTAGTGGTGGAAGCCTAGGGCCGAGGGTGAGGTGAGTAGGGAGGAACTGCTAGTGGGTAGGGGGTTTCTTTTTGGGAGGATGAAAATGTTCTACATCTTAGATTTAGTGGTGGTTAAACAATTTTGAATATACTAAAACCACTAAATTGTACACTTTAAATGGGTAACTTTTATGGTATGTGAATTATATATCAAAAAAGGTGTTTTGGAAAGTCACTGATTTTGCCAAGAACTCTTGAATAGCGGAGGTGAAAGAGAATCAGAATGGGTTAGTGAGTGGGAGGCAAGGAGGTGAGGCAGTAACTGAAAGGGGATATGGGGACAGGGAAAGTGTGTCGCTGTTTTCGACTGGTGTAGAAGCTGTACTAAACGAAATGATCTCTTGTAGTAGAGAAAGATTGATAGATAATGCAGGAGAGAGCACAGGACCAAAGGAACTAAGTTCTTGAGAAGGCAAAGAGGGATGAGATCCCATCTATCTATGGAAATACTGACCTCCGCTAGGATGAGGCACATTTCCTTAGTTGAAAAAGGAAGAAAATGGGTACAGATGCAGGTAGGTTTTTAGATTTCTCAGTAGGAAAATAAGGGAGTTCCTATCTAATGGTTTGATTCAACAGAAACTTATTGAGACTGTTGCAGGCACTGTTCTGGTGCATAGGACATCGAGGCCCCACAAGAGACAAAGGCCCCTGACTTTGGAGCTTACATGTTAGAAAATGGCTTCTCAGTGAAGCATGAGGCTAGATCAGTAGTTCTCAAACTTCTACTCGCACCGGAATCACCCACAGGCCTGTTAAAACTCAGATTTCTGGGCCCCTCCCCAGAGTTTCTGGCTCAGTCTGCCTGGAGTAGGGCCCAAGAATTTTCATTTCTAACAAAGTTCCCATACGACGCTCATGCTGCTGGTCTGCGGACCACATTTTGAGAACCACTGGATGAGATGATCAGCTCAGTGGTGAGGGTAGAAAGCACATGGGAGAGGAGGGATGAAGAGAAAGGAGATACAAAATGGTCACAGCAGAGAGCAGGAAGACTGTCAGACGGTGC